ACTTTCCTGCAGGTTTACTTTTTTTTATAAATTTTCATCTAGAAAATGCAGAAGTTTTTTTAAATGGAGTCATATATTTTTCTCTGCATTAATCGATGCAGCTCGATATTCTCTATAAAAAAGTATCTTTGTATGAATAAAAATTAGTTTAGAGAGATATGACAAACAAGGGCACTATAGATACAAGAACATAGATAAACGATAGATAGTTTACATAAACATAAAATTTTTTTCATGACAATTCATCATATATTGAAGATTAAAGCCTCCACTTTATAATCCCCTGAAACATGTTGTACAATCTTTTCTCGCCAATTTATTGAATTTTGTATATCAGGCGAAACGAAAACAAATATAATGACGATAATAACACAAGTTACACAATTTCTTGAATTTTCGTTATCTAATGTAAGCCTAATATTCAAAGTTGAATAAACTAGCGAAAAGAAAGTTGTACGTCAAGTTTTAGGGAGTCGTAAAAGAAAAGGCTTCAATCTTCAAATACATGCTGGAAAATCTTTCAGTGTTTTTACATGTTATGTCAATATTTATAACATTTTTGAGAAGAAAACTATTTCCACTTGCCCAACTGCTACGTGATATAAAAACATTTTAGAATAAAATTAATGATGCCGTTTGAAAGTGGAGGCTTCAAGCTTTAAAATCAGCTCAAACTTATTGTTACACGATTTCTTTTTATGAAATTATAAATAAATATCCACAATTTTCCGAATATTGGAAATTTCGTGTTCGAAGACTTTCATGAGCCACCCTTTATTTTCGAATTACAGCTTCAGTATGGCGTGTATACTTACGTTCACATCATAGTTTGTCGAATGTTGATGAAGTGTTTCAACAATATCAACTAACGTTTTATATATTAAATTTACTGTAGATGTGATATCTCGTCATTTATATCGATTGTGCAGTACTATTAACGAAATGGAACTATGAAACGATATATCTTGTGGGTATTGCACATAGTTATGACGAGAGGGTCAAATGTCGTTATAAATAATAGTATCATTAAACAGAGGATAAATAGAGGATGTAAAAATTCAGAATAATCTTGTTTAGCTGTATATACATTGAAATTATAATTTCGGAAAATTGTTGCAATACATAATAAGCAACGATAACAAGTATATATTTATATGAATCTTTATATTTATTGAATTCTTTTTATTTTAGCGTACTGAATCAACTCTTGCTGTATTTCTGAGTCACCTTACATAGTATTGATGAAAATTTTTGATAAAATTTTGCTGCATTTATATTTCATACTTTATATTTCTATATATTATATCAACACAGTATTGTAAATTTTTGTATATTTTTTTGTCTACGGTATTTTATTTTCTAATATACAATGCATTAATCTTTAAATAGTATTGTTAGTATTATGTGTCGGGTAATAATTTATGTCGGATCACATTAGATTGGGGTATTTGATTTTATTTCTAATAAATTTCATATTTTAGATAGAGATTATTAATAATAAAATTATATAAAATTAAAAATTTCAAAATTTTATAATTTATTTTTAAATTATGTTTCTAATGGGATTTAATGATACTAGTTCAGAGATAAAATACTATTAGATAGTATATTATATATATAAAATACACACTACTTACTCAATAAGTTTGATAGTATTTTATCCAATAGTATAGTATATTGGATAGTATATATATATATATAAATATTATTACGTTGCAAGAGTATATGTATATATATATATATTTTTTTTTTATACATAAAATATCCAACTTTTGGCTGATATACGTTTGATAGTGTATATTGCATCCATAACTATTTCCATAATCAGAAATATAAAAATTTATTTGCTTTCTTTATGTTTGAAATATCATTTTATTTACACTTTATTTACTTAATATATTTCTATACGTACATACCTTTTTTTTTCTCTTGTATCATAAAGTTCATTTTTTAGATTTCATAGATGTAATAATATTTTAAATTCCATAGATACAATAATAAATTATCATAACTTTCCTCTGTCCACAACCATTAATATTCGCATATTCAGAGTTGTAAGTTGTAGATAAATAACGATTCAATGTATAAATTACAGGAAGATTGTCTTTGGAGCAACAGTAATTTCGTTGCATTTACTTCAAACCGGACGTTCTGCGCTGGTGAAAAAAATGGAAGTGGCCCTTGTAACGGCGACAGCGGAAGCGGTTTCGTGATCTACAATAGCCAAATGGATCGTTATTATCTGCGAGGGATTGTTTCGAGATCTCTTGTAGATAAAAATACTCTGTCTTGTGATTTAAGGCAATTCATCATTTATGTGGACGTAGCACAACATTTAGACTGGATACAGAGACAGATTTCTGTTTAAATTACTGGTGATCTGTGACCATAAATTAGTTATAATAGTTAGTCGATTAATTTTTACATATAAATTATTATTTTACTATATCAAACATTAACATAGTTTACTTTCAGTTTGTGGATTGTCAAATCAATAGCGAATTAATAGATTACCTTTCTTTCTATTTTGACTTTTTAGATTTGTGCTATGGATTATAGATCTTGATTTATTCATTCTGATGAATTATTTAAATAATCCTGTGTGATTGTAAATAGTAAAATTTAAACGTAATATTTTTACACTCTTTATATTTGTATCATGTTTTGTTATTACTCGTGTATTGTTCGTATCAATATTTATGACATTGTATACATATGTATAAAAATAGACGAGATACCTGTAAGAATAGATAATACTGTGTAAATATAACTTTTATATCTTATCGCGCATAATATTTATTATTGACATATTTTTTGTTCTTGCATTTTCTAAGACAAATGTGCAAATCGATTGCATTTTTTTTACACTTTTATTTCTTTTTTCATAATCATCTATATATAGTTTTATGCAATGTTGTAAATAGTTTTCTAAATTTGTAAAGACTTATTCATCATATATTCTAGTTTTAATATTAAAGTATTCCATTAAAATATAAATGTTTGTATTTTCTTCCTATATTATTAACTGCACTTATTGTAAAATTATAACTGAATATAAATATATTTATAGGTAACAATGTACACAAATCTTTTCAATTGATTATAAAACTAAAAATAATATAACGCGATTAGTAACACAATCAGAACACAATGATGCGTATTTCTATTTATTTTCAATTATACACTTTTACACATAAATCATTTCTTATTGTATAAAGATAATGATGAGCGAAACATATAGAATGGAAGAAAATAAGTGTACAACGATACAAACTTGAATGATATGTATATACTGTATATACGACAAAACATGAGAAATATATTCGTGTAAAGAGAGACAATGACTGTCCTAGAAAAAATAACTACAAAATGCTAATTAAAACAATACTTCCTAATTACAAATGAACAATATATCCTTACTTCAAAAAACAGGACTATCAAATAATTTATATCGATATGTTACGTAAAATATGCTATTTTTTAAAAACGAAGCATGAAAGGAGAGGTTTTGGAATGTTTTCAGTGAAAATAGTTCCTCCTTTATCATAAAATTATGTTCTTTATTGTCCCATTGAAGAAGGTAAGCAAAAATTTTCATCTCCAAAATAGCTTACTAGGATGTAGCAAGCCCGTATTAAGAATTAGAATGCAGCGCGTTAGAAATTGCACTGTATTTAGATTTGTTCACTTTGGAAGTATTGTCGTGCAACTGCTCCTAGTACGATTTCTGCACTGAACACACCTATAAATATTAAAGGAAAAAAAAATGAAAGGAAATTCGAGAATGTTTTTTATATTACCCATACACATCTTCCAATATTTATTTAAAAACTTAACTAGAAATTATGAAAAACTACTTACTGATATTTACACGTAAAATGTCAGAAAGAAGATGTAGATCGTTTTCATGAGTGATGATGATATAAGTTAATTTATTACTATTCATTTCTTGAATCTGTGCAATAGATCTTCGTGTTTTTTCCATTGTTCCACCCGCGCTTTCAATTATTTCTGCAATTGCTGGTGGCGATGGTATTACGCTTGGTGTAACATAAAATATTTTACCCTGTTCAATAAATAATTATGTATGTATTCAATATAAATCTTAAACCACGATCATTTCATGAACTATCAATGTTAATTAAGATATATAACCAATAAATTAATAATAGCTGAGCCAATAGAAAAATTACCTTAAGTACTGTTCCTCTATTGGGGCTTGCCAGTGCCTTCTCAATATTACAATTAAAATTTTTCTCGAATTCTGGATCTCCAAGCATATATCCACTTTCATCTAAAAATGTATTCCTCGCAGAACAATCAAGTAACCACTGCAACGTGACAATATATTTACAACGTGACAAGCAACATAACAATTTTACAGTCCTCCTTGGTGCCGTCATCACAAGATGAGTCGCGTCTCGCCAACTGGCTGCCAATGCACCACCTAATTCCCGGATTCTCTGTTGAGTGAATAATTCAATAATTAATAAATCAAGTAATACTAATAATGATCCTTATTGTTATAAATGCAAGAAAACGAAAGAAAATGAAATAATTATTTTTTATTTTAAAAAATGGAAAATTTTGTTCTATTTATATCACATGTATCAAAATTAAAGAAAAATTTTATACAAAATTTAAAATGAAACAATCATTTCTAGTATCAGTAAAGCACGAAATAATTAGATAGAATAATTTTCTTAATCAATTTGAAATGAAATCATCTTATGCTATATTTAAAATTTATGAATGTTGTGTTAGTGAATTTCAATTACCTTTGCGTGCTTCCTAGGGTTAATACCAGAGAACAATATTCTCGGTTGTTTATCCGGAGGCGGAGGATCTGGATTACTAACAACTATTGGTTCATCTAAGCCCAACAAATGTGGATCTTTATTCAATAACGGGCCATCTAATCGCGGCTTCTTATACTTTCTTATCGAATTTGGTCCCTGACCAACCTGCTTCACTTTATCGTATGATTCCTGAGTAATGTTTATTGGCATCTTCCATGCAGCTAAAAGAAATAACATTTTAACACCAGTAAGATGATTGAATTTAGAAAGACTGAAAGAATAAGCAAGTTATGATTTTTTTATTGGAAAAATATACAATTAAATGATAAAGATACCCATTAAGTGAGGCACTAGCGAATAATCCAATCTAAAGGGATTGCTCAGGCTATACTGCTGATATTTTGGATTTTCGGTTTGATGGAGCGCGTTCATTTGTCCACACAACAAGTCCGTCAACCATTGAGCATTTACCACTCCAGTTTGCCATTCTCGAGCTTTCTTATATTTTTGACCGTCCGGTCTGAAATGATTTTTGTTGAGTAAAAGGATAACAGTAACAAACGATGAATGATTGATCACTACACGCTGCATCATAAAACGTTGTTATATAAAAAGAGCAAATGATGAATTGAAAGATATAAAGATAGATAGATACATATGTACGTGTTTATCTTGCTTAATGTTATTTTCGGACTTTTAGTTTCTATAAATTTTTTTAACAAATATTATTAATTTCGTATATTGTATCATGTATAAAATCTTGATAATTGCTTATAAACATTTTCATTGTATCTTATTAAATTTGATATTGTATATTCTACATAAAAGAACTGTATATAATAAATACAAAAGTGAATTATTTACATTGAGTTTAATAAATAAAACTTAATATTGAAAAGAAATTTAATATCCGTTTTCTTCATATTTTAATGATAGTTATTATATAGATTGTCCCAGTCTTCCTAATACGTAGAGGGAAAGAATGATTCTACATGTATTGCAATCTAATGATTCTACAAAAATAAGCCAAAAAGAAAGAATAGTATCTTTTCACATAAGATTACGTTCTCGAGAAATTCGAGTTTGAAAATATTTTGAATTACTGCTTGAACTTTAATTTCATATTGGATGAGAGTGAATGATCGATACAACTCTACGTACAAGAATAAGTAAAAAATGCAGGATAAAATTTTCAATATCCAAGAAATATGTTTTGTTAAAAATTGCCTTGGTACGCATGTACTTGATAAATTTTCGAATTTTCACGGAAACAGAATGACTTGTGAAACAATTTTTCATTTATTTTTGCAAGTTTTTTTTCTCTGTTACATCCGGAATAATAAATTATATTTGCTAAATTATATGTACCTGACAAACTTGATTTTCTTCGAGCGTCATATAAGAAAATGTTATTCTACATTTTTACTTATTTTTTTTTTTACATAGAATCTTCTATTTCTCTATTGTACCATGAAAACTTTGTACATTAAGAATATTTCATAACAATGGAACAATGTTTTATGTCTATATTTTAAAAACAAAGTCAAATAAGATAAACATGAACATAAAATCCTTCATCATTCTTGCTTGTCAAATTCATTCTGTTGGTGTGTCCACCAAGATTTTACAATAGATTATTTAAATCAAGAATTAAAACCTCCCCTAAAACTGAGATCGCTTGTATTGATAATGAGTAACAAACCACCATTACCTTCTGCAAACGAGAAGAGTGTTGTGCCTGGTGAAGTAATTGGTAACTTTAGCTCCTAATGCTTCCAACATATACTTCACCTTCGCTCGTTCTTCTCCTTCAAATCCAGATAACGATACAATTTGTTTTGCACATGGAAGCTCTGTCAAACTGAATGGTGTTGGAAAATGCAGTGCGTGCCAAGGTGGTACTACCTGCTGTTTACTGACTACATCCGATAACCAGTGAGCACTGACACAACGTTTTCCTTCACGTAAAGCCTGCACCACCGTTGGATGTTTCTGCGTGATCGCAAGTATGTGAGTGGCACGAGTACAATATTGTGGTTCTACTTCTCCACCGTGTCTCTCGATTACTTGTTTCCATATGGAAACATCGTTCGGACGTTGCACGTCGTATTCGACAATAACAAAGATACAACCTAGCAAAAATAGATCTGGTGGTACTGGAAATAAATAAACGGTTTTCTATTAGTGAAAAAACGAAGCTCATAGATAAATGAAAGAGAAATATAGAAACTATTTTCATTCATTCGTTCGTTACATTTAGTTAATTGAGTTCTTATTTTCCTGACTAATTTCTTGATCTCCAAGAACTGTGAAAGAGAGCAGAAATTGAAGATCTTTATTCGGAGGATTTTGTAATATGATTTTCAATGTAAGATTTCAAGAATTTGTGCTAAAAATGATTATTTTAGAAAGAAAGAAAGAAAGAAATATTTTGTATTCCTTTCGACATAAATATTTTAGACTAAAATGTTGATTGGAAATCTTTTAAAAATTTTTCAATTAGACAAAACACGTATAGTAGAACTTCTATATCTGAAGATATAAAATCCACGATTACTTCTCAGAGATCAACGTAACATTTTCAATTAAGCTAAGAATATTATAGTGAAAGTTTTAAAATACATTCGTGTTTTAAAGTTAATGTTTTCAATTAATAATGTAATTTGCTAATTGATTATCTACAAATAGCCTTGAAACTAATCTCCTCTAAATATAGGTCTTACTATACATTCACTAAAAATCGCACAGTTATAATAGTTTTTAAAAATTTGGAAGACTATACGTTTTAGATTTGGATTGTGACCATAAAACTGAGCTTTTGCCTGGGGCACCACTGGAGCATATTGCATCTTTATTGGTGCACCGGGAGGCGCCCCGTTTGTGATGTTTCCAACAGTTCTTCGCTGATATGCCGCTAACAGTTGTGGATCTTGAGATGGTGGTGGTGGTGGTCTATGTTGCGCGGTCATCAATCTCAATTGACCAGCTGCACTACCCTCAGTAGCACTACCTTGTAATCTACTTGTCAACATGTTTGCCAGGGCGGTTTTTGTCTTTGCGTTAACGACTAATTGTTGATCTGGTGGTAATTGGGTATTGTTCGACAACGAGGTTAAAGGAGGCTCTTGCTGCGCGCTCTGTTGTTGTTGCTGCTGCTGTTGTTGTTGTTGTTGTTGTTGT